GGTAAGTTCTGATATCAGAAAAATGAAAAAAAAATTGTCCAGTATGAACATCCTGACATCAAACAACAGGATAAACAACACCTATAAAATACTGTTAGCCTCAAAAATGAATTTAATCAAGTCAGCTCCCTCAAAGATCATATAAAATAAACTACAAAGAATCAAGTGGCCAGATCCAGAATGTAGAAAAAATCCTTTTCGAAATATGACTTATCTGGACTGCACAGTGAGTTCCAAGTCAGTCTCAACTACATAGTGAGACCTTGTCTCAAACGCCCCCCCAAAATATATGACTTAGTTTTTAACAATGAAATAAAAATATAAAATATATAAATGGAATTTTATAAATAGAAAAGTAGGGCTGGGGATTTAGCTCAGTGGGGTGCTGTCACCTGCCTTGCAAGCATAAAGTCCTGTGTTTGTTCCCCCCCACAAAAAAAAGAAAAAGAAAAGTAAAAGAATTGCGGTATATATAAAAATAAAGAAGGGATTGTGAAGCAAAAATAAATTACAAAAGACTTAGCAATTACATTTGTTTGGCCTCTGATTCAAGCACTTGAGAAACTTAGGGAAACATTAACATGTTCTGGATGTATCAGGTATAATAGATAGATCACCTGGTAAGTGCAAAGACAATAAGTATAAGTAGGAGATAAAAGAGTGAAGAGAGGTTTATTATTTGCAACAAGAAAAAGCACTGAAGACGACTCTCTAATCAGTATTTTCCCCAAAGAAAGCAGAGCCTTTATAGGAAAACTTACACATATTCATATAGGAAAGACCCATTATCACCTGTAGAGATAGGCACATTCCTGAACATGCTCAATCTAAAATCATGATTAAAAAATGGTAGATGCAAATGGTGCTAGCAGATAACTTATTATATTGAAAAAGAGTAAGTCAGAGTATTTGCCCATTTTGGCTGTTTCTTGTTTCTCTGAAGGGCTTCAGTGAAACAACTTTGAAAACAGGTTAACATTCTTTCAAAGAGGCAGTGTCTTTTCCCCTGAAAATACAAGAGTTTGCCCCTAAAATGATTCACCTGCCGACTACATTGGGCATAATGAGACATTAAGAAATCATTGTTAACTGTATATTATACAGTGGTATTGGTTATTTTAAAATGTTAATGACCCAGTCTAAAATATTTATGAACGAAATGACAACTTTCTCTAGGATTTAGTTTAAAATATGCCTATTAAAGCAAGGAGGGAATATATAATACTACATTGGAAAATGATAGTTGTTAAAGTTGGGAGAAAATACATGCGATTCATTATAGCATTTTCTTACTTTTGTATGTTTTAATACTTTTTATCATAAAAATTAGAAAAGGAGGAATAAGAAGAGAAATGATGATGATACTGCATCTTCTTCCTTTTTCCTCCTTCTATTCTATAAATGATAAGTGATTATGAGGCTTAACAGTGTAGCCACCATTAGAAAATTATAAGGCAAACACCAAACATGGGAATGAAAAAATGACATAAGAATGGCAGACAGAAAGATAAAAGGGAAATGTTGAGCTACTACAGTAAATCATTACTCACTTTTTTGAGTGAAGGTCTCCAATCTCTCTGTGTGAGTCACTCTGAATTGAATTTTCTGTTCACTGTAGTTTTACACTGTGATTATTAATATGACTTGGTTCCATTAATATCAGGTGATTTGTGGTTCAATTAACATCAAGTGATCTGGGGCTCTTTCTGTTACCCAAGTAAACCTCACTGGAGTAACAGCATTAAGAAGAAATAGGGTTTCTGCTTTACAACAAATAAAGCAATTAAATCAACAGGCATAAAATAAATTTTTATTCACTTTTACATTGCAAGAGAAAGAATTTTGGAAGAGAAAATAAAAGAAATCATCTTGTGTCAGTTATTTTTGGATAGAGTTTAGAGTTAAATCTAATGCTATGGTCAGTATTTTCAAAGTCCAAAGAGTTAAATCAGCTGCTTTGTTGTTTCATCACACACCACTGACTAAGGGCACAGAGGTTGTGAGTCATACTATTGTCCCAGTACTTACTTTCTTGCTCTTTAGTACGCTATGGTAGCAGAAATATTTCCTTCCACTAGGTTCACAAAATGATTTAACAGAAAAGACATCCTATTTTTTTTTTTTAAAAAAGGAACACCACTCAGCTTGACTTTTTTCCCCAGAGGGTCAGTGGAAGTAGTTATTAAGTTTTGCCTATTTCTTTCATGTTTAAATTTGCTCCTGTTTCATAATTCCACTGACCTTTGGGGAAAAGTACATGAATGACTTAACTCTATGCAAACAACTATGGATTAGTCAGACCTTTCAAAAAGTTCTGCATGGCAACTTTGAAGAATTTCATTAAAAGGAGACAGATACAAACTTTGTTAATAAGGGGTATGAGAAAAGGAGTTGAATTTATATGACTCAAATAAAGAAAGACAAAAAGAATTGAGTCTTATTTTTGAGTATGAAAAGATTTCTATACAATGATAGAAAACAATTACTTTCCATCTCATGTGTCAAAATTACAGTGGGGATGATTTAAACTAGATATTAGAAAAACTCTAAGGATGCAAGTATATGTTGTCACTGGGTTATAGAGTTATAGGTTTGTTTTTTAAAAATAGGATAGAGTAATTATTAGTTTTCAAATAATATTAACTCACACTATAAACAGTGTAACAACACAATTTCCTAAGACAATTTTTTATAGCAAGAATGTTCACAGGAATGGAGTGATAAGCAAGACACATCTCTGCTATCTGAAAGTTACAATGTTAAAAGACAGTGAGCAGAATGAGCTAGATACAAAAATAACTAGAAAATAAAGCACAATGTAACTGATAACATAACAAAGCAAAATTCCATACTTCTTTAAATTATGCCACTGTAATGACCACATATCAGGTTATAGCACTATAATTCAGATATCAGAGACCTTATAGTCTCCTGAGAATAGAGTATACACTGGTGAATGCCCATAAGATCAACTTATTTCAGAATATAAAAAGAAAAGTTATTGGCCGATCTGTACAGTAATGTCACTTAACACAACTAGTAACCAGGGTTGAGCATTATCGGTATTCTAATCTCATTTTTGAGGAAGTGTACAAGGAAGAATAGATTTCAAGTCAGCAAAGCTTATAGAATATACATAAATAACATATGAAGAAAATGTGCATAAGGAGAGTTTTTAAATTAGCACAATTCCAATTTCAAAATAGTAATAGAATTACACCTTTAGGACATTTGTGGTCTATTTGACTCTGATAAACAATAGTATGACCATATCAAAAATATTACAATGTATTGAGTGTGACGGTACACCTCTGTAATCCCAGCACTCTGAGAGGCTGAAATAGAAGAATCACAAATTAAAAATTCAAGTCCAGCCCAGGCAACTTGGTGACTTAATCAGATCTTGCCTCAAAATAAAAAAATAAATTAAAAAGGGTTGGCATGGAGCTCAATGATATGGTGCTGCTAAGTTCAATTCAATTACCAATACCACCAAAAAATGTACAAAATAAGACTTAGTAAAATACAACATAGCTTATCACCATCCAAACTTCATTATTAGGAAAATGCTATACAACACCCTGGAAATAATCAGAATAATCTTATGACTAGTGTCATTTGAAGAACCCATTCTGGTACTTACTTCAATTAGTTCATTGTTATTATGAAATTTCTTTGTAGAACAGAAGTGAAACTTAGTTCTCTCTCTCTCTTGAGAACCAGTAGAATGGAAAGTAGTATGCCAGTCATGAGGCTGATGTTCTTCTAAGAGTTTAATTAGTAAAGGAACACCTAATCAAGGGTGAAAAAAAGAATTCTAGTTAGTAAGCAAAACGAACTGAGCAGAATATCAAGTGATTAAGAACAAGAAGAAAAAAAAATAGGAAAAGAAGGAAAACAAAGAGAAAAAAAGCCTGGCTCAAAGTTCAAAATATAGTTGAAGAGGAAATAAAAAGAGGAAGCAATTTATAGAGTAAGAATATATGTATATATATATATGTATATATTACATGCATATATGTGTGTGAATGAATATATATATAAATTTGATTTTTTTACCTCTAATGTCAGGAAACATAACAGCCACCATTTTTTAAAAAGCTGATACATTATAATCAGAAACTATTAAAGCATAAAGTAATTGCGTTTTCAGTATAAATCAGTTTCCCATTTTTATATCTAGATGCTATCTGATGGTTTGGTTTTAAAGAATGATAGAATGTTGTATAGCTATTATGTGCCTACATTTTTTCTCATTTAATTCTCACAAAAACCCTAGAAGATAAGGATCATCCTCTCCATCTTATTACTGTGTTAACTGGGGCTTAGAAAGGTAAGCATAGATACAGACCACCAAACTAGTAAGTGGTAAAATAATTTTGAACTCAGGTTTCTCTTGTTTCAATTCAACTTAATGTTTTCTATGTGCTGGGCTAACCTACTGCAACAACCTAAGTACATTTGTGAGCTAATCTGACCTTCATAAGAGATGGCATTTTTGACCTCTTAGTAAATCTATGATTAAATAATTTGATTCGTGATTAGTCTGAAAAACAGAATTTAACAGACTAAGTTTTTTTAAATTGCCAGTGGTGGTTAGAAAAGGAAAGAACAAACACTTCCCAGAGGTTAGATAATAGAAGGTGCATAAACCCATATCCACATGCACTTAGACACACACACACATATATACTTTATAAATATATATTCAAAAGCACCTGTCTAGAAAAAAAATGTTTTGCTTTTCAGTTTGGCTAATTTGCTTTCATCATGCTACCATGACACAGATGTAACCATAATTGTTCTTTGGAGTTAACATAGACATCATCTTTATTGAAAGCAACATATGTAGTATGCAAAAACCTTAAAAAGAAAACCTGATCATCTAGTATTTCTACCTCTAGGAATTTAATTAAACAGAAATTAAATCAGAGGTTATGTGAAATGTACATCTTGACTTTTTTTTTCTTCTTCTTCTTCTTTTTTTTTTAGTAGCTGCTATTGTTTATTTCAATTTGGGTTTATAGGTTGGTCTTTCACTCCACAGCAGTTTTCAGTGGCTGGGATTGTGCTTGTCTTCATTCTGACATTATTTATAAAGGTGAAAGGATAGAAATAATTGAACAACAGAAGGGAAACATTTAGTAAAATAGACTTTCATATGTTACTTATTAAATAGTAAATTTAATTTTTAAGTTAATATTTATATAAAAATATTAAAACAATTATGAGCTTAAAAAGCATGATACAGTCCTGGATATACAGGATAATCTTAAAATCTCTTTAGAAACATGTAGACACATAGAGAAGAAATACTAAATGAAAATATACCAAAATATAAATATATGTTTGTTCTGGGTTTTAGGGTTGATAATGAAGTTTTTAGAATAAATTTTCAAACTTTTCTACAAATGAGCAAATATCAATTTATAATAAAAAATCTATAAGCCTGATTTTAATGGCAAATTTTAATCATCTTTTATTAATATAGTGGTAATCATACCACTACATAGTAATATTATATTCTTTCTTATAGGTACTGATAGGATATTCTTTCTACAAAAGAATATGGTATTGACCATTGAGTTCACTTTTTTTTTTAAATCATTTGCTCATGGACAATAATTTGAATTTCTTTTGATTCTAAATTTGGGGACAAACAAGCATCATATTCTTTAAAAAATGATTGGACAATTAAAATGAAACTATTGGTGTATTTTATCATTTATCTGTTTTATTAAGGAATTGAAATCCAGAGAAATATAAATACAAAAAATTTCGTTTCTTTGACCAACTGTACTCTGTTAACAATATCTGAAGCAGATTCCAGATTCTTAAGGTTTTCCTTGCCTGCTCTCCCTCCTTCCCCCAGTACTGGTTGAACCAGTAGCTAAAGAATCTAAATGTGAAGAGTAATACACCTACTTCTCCTTTCCTTTCTTCCTTAAGACACAGGTTCAATGTATGTGTACCTAAAAAAATGGGAAAGTGCAATTAAGTAGGTGAGGAGATGTTCTTCTCTATATTAGTTCTCAATTTAGTAATGGTCACCCTCTGTAGTAAGCATCCAAAACATTAGCTCTCTCATGAGGTGCATATGTGAGTTCATAGGCAACTGTGAAGAACTTCTCCATTACACAGTTCTCTAAAGTATAAGAAATATGGCTCAAGTTCAGCCTCTTTCACCTCTGCCCTAGTCAAAAGGTACCTCCATCTGTGGAACACCCAGTCTCCAGTTGTTGCAGTCCCATTTTCTGGCAGCAAGAAATGACCCTAAGAGTTATCCTAAATAGATGGCTCAAATATAACTCTTTCCATTCTTTTCACTAGAACCATGGAAACTCATATCATTGTTCAGTTGGAGGACTAACAGCATTATGAGCACCAATTCTTTACTTTTCCTATAGTTTCTTTCACTAAAATGGTGAAGTATGTTTCTAAGTCTAGTCTTGTCATGGAATTTCTGTATTTTCAGCCTCCCCAGCTGAAATAATTTTGTCATTCAAATTCCTATTAATTCTTCAGGACTCCACCTAGACATGAACTCTATGCTACTGAGTATTCCATGTGAAGTCAAACCCTCCTCTGAATTTAACCTCCAAATGATTTAGGAAGGTTATTTTATAATTACACATTGGTTCATATAATTAATTTTGAATTTACAAGATCTTCTTTTACTTCATTCCAACATAAAAATTTCATAAACAATATGTATGTGTATCTTTGTTCAGGATCAAATGTATTTCCCAGAGAGATCTCTTTATGGTTAATATAATTCTCTAAAAGAAAAAAAAAAAGGACTAGCAATAATCATTGTACCTTCTGGGACAATATCTCTAGATTGGAACATCTTAAAACTTTTAATCTAACAATGAAAAAAACCTAAATATTTTATCCTTTGTTGAAGCCGCTAAGGGCCCTTGCTGGCTTTCTTGCTTGCTTTTGATGTCTTCTGCCTCCCATAATCTGTTTTCTCCTCTCAATGCCCCTCTGCCAAGCCACCCTGCCTTGGAGCCAGCAGATTAAGTACTTAAACCTCTCCAAACTGTGAGTTAAATGAATCTTTACCCCAATACCTTTGAGTGTGGGGGGTCTTTTGTCTCAGTAGAGAAAAGTAACTAAGACAGCGGCAACAAATAACAAGTCTAAATGTCACTGCTTTCCATGGTTATCCTCTTGGGAAGAGTACAGTAACAATGAATAAACATACTGAGATTCTTTTAGATAAATCAATATAATTATAAAGTTTAAGATGTCACATTAATGCTTTCTGTGTGGAATAGAAAGGGAAGGAAAGGAATGGAACATTTGCATTGATCCTACAACATTCTGCTAAACCTCTAGTTATTTCAACATCCCATTTTCTCTCTCCAACCCAATTATTTCATTTTATGAACTAGGGTATTTTCTTTCTGAATATTAGCTATACTAAAGAGTCAAATAAATTAAAGAGTACAATAGTTCAGAAGTATTTTGACTTTATTTGTTAATGTGGCTATTTGCAACTCTACCTGGTGACAAATCCATGTCATATAGGATACTATTTCTAGTAATAATCTATAGCAGTATTGTTTGATCACCATTACATATTTCATCACTGAAGTGAGATTTTCATAGTTTATGAGTATATTCATGATCATATTGTGTAATTAGAAAAAATAGTTTTTAATAAATGAAAAATGCATAAAATAACCCTAAAAATTAAATATTAGAATTGTGATAATATTACTGACAAATGTTTTTGCTGTTTTTAAAATCTGAATTGAAGGATGCACGTTTCTTGGATAAGAACTTGGTACTGTTCTCTATTTTATGTCAGGGTAAAGAAAGAAATTAATGGGATAAAGATCAAATAAAAATGGTAATCTGAAATGAACAGATATTTCTCAGACAAAGTAAAAGCAGCAAATAAACATATAAAAAGGTTCAATATCACTAGTCATTCAAGAGATGCAGATGAAAACAACATTGAGATTCCACCTCACCCCAGAAAGAATGGCTGCTATCAAGAAAGTAACCAATAATAGATGCTGGTGGGACTGTAGGAAGAAAGTAATACTTCTTCATTGTTGATGGGAGTGCAGACTGGTGCAACCACTGTGGAAATCAATATGGAGATAACTTAAACAACTAGGATTAGAAGTCCCATTTGACCCAGCTATTCCTCTGCTCTGTATCTTCTCAAAAGAATTTAAAGAATCATACCTCAGTGATATATATGTACCCACATTCATAGCAGCACAGTTTGTAATAGCTAAAACTGTGAAACAGCCCAATTACCCATCAACTGGAGACTGGATAAAGAAGACATGTTTATTGCTTTAATAAAATGGAGTACTATTCAGCCATAAAGAATGTAAAACTAGAGACATTTATAGCTAAGTGGATGCATATCGAGGCCATAATCTTAAGTGAAATAAATAGTACACACATGTGTAAATACCGAATATTTCTCTGGTGTGAAAAACTAACAGTATAAATAAGCATCAAAATGTATAATTGATATTGTGAAATAGGAAGAAAAGGTCTAAAGGAGTAGGAGAAGTGGGAGGGGCAGGGGAAAGGAAAGAAGGGAAAAGAAAAAAATATAAGAAAAGGAAAAACATGGAAACAAAGTCTTTGTAAATAAAGAAGGGTGAGGGCTGGGATTTAGCTCAATGGTTCCGCCACCTGTCTCACAAGCTCAAGGTCCTGAATTCAATCCCAGGTACCAAAAATAAAATAAAATTTTAAAAAATAGGAAAGAGTGAAATAGGGAAGGGGTGAAGGGAGGGCAGGGGAATGGGAATAAAATAAGAACCAAGATACATCACGTAAAGGTACAAGATCTTAATGATGACTAGAACTGTTGTGTACCTAAAATGTACCAATAAACTTAATGGAAAAGAAAAAAAAAGAAAGAAATTTAGGGGTAATCCTTAGTACTGTGATGATGGTTAGAAAATGAAGTGGTTGTGCAGATACTGTATTTCTCTCTCTCCTCTCTCTCTCTCTAATTTTTTCTCCTGAATTCTGTAAACATTCTTAGAACAGGCCAGTAATCATTTTTAGAGTCCTTATATTATTTTGAAATAATAATAATAATAATAATAGTGTCAGAGATCATCAAATTAAACATACTATGTATCTATATTGTAAAAAATATTGATGAGTTGACTTCTAAAATTTATTATCATTTGAATTTCTTATATTTTCCTTTGTACAAAAATTAAGTAAACTTTTAAATCTATTAAAGAATTGCTATAATTTCTGTCAGAAGAAAGAGGAATTGACAAAGATGAATATGTGAAAAATTGTAATAGCCTTCAAAACTGTATGTTGCCAGCATTTCAGTATTAATGCTTAAACTAGTAACTAGTTCCAGGTACTAAAAGCATGACCAAGTTTTCTCTTACCACATTAGAATTGAGGCTGACCTCAATTCTAAACTAAAAATTTTCATACTAAAACTGAACTAAAACATAGTGGTTGGCTTAGGTGAGTATTTTCTCTCTGTGCTCAAACATTCAGTGATTCTCATACCTGTGTTCAGTTTATAAAGCATTTCGATGAAACTTGATGTGAAACTGGATTTCTGGTGCCTTGCTTGAAGTAAGTAGGTTGAAAAGGAAAATAGATGTTTACCTCAACCTATTGTAGCAACAGTAGTTAAGTAATTAAGCCTCTGACATCTTAGCCATGATAATATTTCTCAGGGGCTATTCATACTTTACACCAGTGGTAACTAAGAGAATTATTTACTGTTTCCTGAGTAGAAGCTGAAGGATCATTTATAGGAATGTTTTAGTTTGACCCCTGTCTTTCTACTGCTCTACCAGACCCAAAGGGCAGCTTCTGAATATCAAACATGACAGTTAATAATTGTCAATAGACTAGGCAGATATAAGTATAATTGAAGGAGAACAGCAAGTATCTACCGGATCAGGAAGACAGGATCTGCCGTCCAGACCAGGAAAGCAATAACTATTTGCTAGACCAAAATTATAGTACCTGTTCAACAGAACCAAAGGTCAACATGTGTCCACCAATTAGGAAGGTGACCTCTGTATACTAGAAAGAGGAGAGTGATATTTTTCAAAGCCCAAAACAAGGACATTAATTGAATTTGTTTGGTTTCTATATGTGTCTACTGCTTTAAAATGATTAAGGGAATTGTTGATGATTGAATAATCAAAGACCTATATTTTAAAGTATAAATATTAGAAAATAAAACCTAGAATGTAATGTTCAGAATTATACTTGCTAAGCAATTGATCACAGAAACAGATTATTAGTAGTTATAGGTCTATTGAATTTAATTTCATATGATAAATATGTTCCAAGTACAGTACTTATTTAACTTAATATTTTAAGGAAAGCTATAGGGT